CCTGCCTAACAAAGCTAGGCAGCGCGGCTCCTGTCCCCAGCCCTGTCCCCTCCGTGAGCAGCTGACAGCCAGGAGGACAGAGCTGGGGAGAGGAGCCGTGCTGTCCTGTCAGAAGTGGCCAGATGCCTGGCTGGGTTTGGCATGCTCTGGCAGCCTGCTGGGAGACACATGGGAGCACCGCCGTCCTGCTGGCCCCAGCTAGCGCAGGCAGCCTACACACCCCTCTCCCCCCGAAGGATGTATGTCTGTCTGTTTTGTTCACTCCTTACCTAAACTAGGGTGTTCAGAGTAAACCACAAAACTTACACTGCTTCCACCTTAGAATTTTTGAACATCCATACTTAGCCTAAATTTCCACTGAAAATTTTTATATATAAAGTTCAAATTTTACAGGTTTTTCTCTCTCTTTTTTTTTTTAATGTAAAACACAATTAGAAGTACTGGTATTAGTACGCTAAACTAAATACCTGGACAATATAGGTGCTGTACCAATTATCAGGCTTTTAACTATCTGAAAAGTATGTGCGTCTTGTTTAAGCGTGCTACATGAAATGTTCTTTCATACAATTTTTACCTTACTTCCCCCACCCCAAACTACTGATTAAATAATGCCTAGATATAATGCTGGGTGCCTATACTTGTAGTAAGCTTTAACAGGTTTCCCCTACTCAAGGTTAAATAAGTATTTGAAATATTCAGTAACACTGGTGCATGTTTTCTGATCTATAAAAACGTATGGAGAAGGTTTTTAAAGTGAAAACTATGATTAAGAGCTTATAGGACAACACTGATATTTCCCAAGTCTGATAGTAACCTGAGTGGTAAGTGATAAGCAAACATTCAGTACCCCAATGGAAATGTGTCATCTATATTCAACATATAGAACAACTAATTTAAAGAAAATCAAATAGAGTATTAATTGTAAGGAAATAGCAACAACCCCTGTAATAGCCAATGTTAGGCCACCACATTATTTAATAGTCTTATGACTTTTTCTCAAGCTGCTGTAAAATCTCCAACAAGGTACTGAAATTTGGCAGAAGGCAGTCCTTGGATCAGGCAAGTGTTTGATTGGGAACCTCAAAAACCATCAGCTTTTTAATGGAATAATACTTCTATAACTGTAATGTAGAACAAATATGAAATCACAAATAAAACCGGTAACAGCAGGTTTATGCAAATACTGACTAGCATTAGGCAGAAGGTAGGGCAGGGTAGCACCTTAGAGACTAAATGGTTGAGAGAGGCATGAACTTTCACAGGAAATAACCCCCTTTTTCAGATCCTATGGATGGAGATGAGACTTATTAAAACAGAAGTCTTCCCTGTTGTTCAATAATTTAGTGTCTATTGCATTGTGCTCAAAAGCCTTTATTTTCCCTCAAAAAATTAAATGTAACACTTAGCATTTAGGAAAACAACAGTAAAATGGTTTGGATATACTTTTATAAAAAGGGCCTAGTGACTTGTTTTCAAGTAATTAAGCATAACTAGGCCTTGTGTTTTAACAAATAGGAGTTTGATTATTATATACCAAATTCAACAAATCAACTAAGTCACTGACTGTAAGAGATATTAGGGAGGAGGGGAGGGGGAAACATTGGCATACAAATCTCAGCAGCTTTCCACATATCTGATACCTACCTTGCTGTATCGTTAGTTGGCAAGGTGGACATTCTCCTGCATGGCACACCTGAGTACAGTTATGTTTACGACAATTTAACGTATTCCCACATACATTAGAACAATGAATTGTGGTGGACTGGCCACAGCGCACTGAGTGACTGTAGATAAATAACAGCATAATTAGTAAAATATCTTACTTGGACTTAAGTATTCCATATACATTCATCAAAGTAATTGCTTTGCAATATGAGCTGCACTTCTTCAAAGGAAATATACAATAATGGAATGCATTAAATTGTCCAGAAACTAAAAATGGATCATATCTCTAAGTCAAAGGCAGGCTACTATGTAAATCTTCGCACATAAAAACAGAGAAAAGAGCTTGATGTCACATTAACTGGATATACTGCATTATTTAAAATACAGAACACCCTTTTATATTATTATGCTATCTTTTAATAGTTTAAAGTTAACTTTGTTGCCAAGACTGTCATTAAGGCATCTCCTTTCTAGTAGTGCATTACAGACATTGGTAACTTTCATAATATGCTTATTCTTTTTCACAGCCTCTCTTTAGGTCAACAAGTATGTTTAGAGCACAGTATTTGACTTTTGTAGATTTTATTTATGCCATTTACAACACATAATAGCATATACATATTTCTGCCTTGTATATTTGGAAAAGAAGATACTGAGATCTGTGAATCACGTTTGTTTCCTATGTGGTTCATTCCATGCTGCTAGATCAGCTCCCAAAAAAGCTGCCACCTACACAGATTAGACTTATGATTGTGTCAGAAAAATCTCACTGTTCCAGGAAAGGAGGATTTCTTTATATTGGTACCAATCTGATATTGGACTGATGTATCATAGAATCATAGAAGCAGGGTTGGAAGGGACCTTGTAGATCTTCAAGGACGAACCCCTGCCTGGGCAGGAGAAAAACTGGGCTCACACGATTCCAGCCAGGTAGGCATCAAACCTCCTCTTAAAGGCCCCCAGGGTAGGAGCCAGCACCACTTCCCTTGGAAGCTGGTTCCAGATCCTAGCCGCCCTAACTGTGAAGTAGTTCTTACAGATGTCTAATCTAAACCTACTCTCCTCTAAAAACTTCAGACATATAATCAGGGTAAAGTTATCTTTTAAATGACCTGGCCTCAGCCCTGAATGTAAGAAAAGGGACCTTGATCTTGATTTGGTAATATATGAAATAACAGTGCATTTCTTACTTTAATTACTTAAAGTTACAGTGCCCCAATAAGGTTTTTTACTTCTATAACACTAATACATCCTCTTAATCTAAATTCAAACTTCAGTTCTTTTGTCTGAGATACGATGCAAAGACTAGCAATGCTAGTAGTATAACAATGTTCCTTCTGTAAAACCCATGCACCGATTATAATTGTGGGTGTCATGATTTTGTACAGCTACACTAAATGACTTGGCTCTTAAACCAATATCATAGATGTTCAGATGAAAGGGCAAATGTAATGCTTTGGGAAAAGAGAAATAATACCACAAGAAGCAATTTGCAGCTCCAGATAACCTGACCCCAATATACAGGACAGTATGTCAGACTAACTAAAGGCAGCTGGAATTCTATATGTAAAACAGTACCTCTAATATTATTTGAAGTTTTTAGCTGAAATTAGTATACTTCTAAAATTAATTACATCTCCTATTCCAGGTTGGCTGGCTAACAAGGTGACCTTAAACCATAACTGGGAGAAAGTATGGCTGGAGGGGGTGAAATAACTTTATTTAAATTTTTTTTTAAATAAACATAATTAATTTTTTTTTTTGCTTTTTTATCACCTTTCCTCAACACACTTATGGTATCAAATGGAAAGGCAGATTTTAAAAAGTGAGGTTAAAATGTTAACAAATAAGTCAAAAACAGTGCTTTCTACAAACTGGTTGATATTTCTGCAATCAGTGGCCGACTACCTCCTGATCTTCAGGATCAACTAAGCCCTTTTCATTCTGTGGGAATGAAATCAAAGATTTGATGGATTTCTGGAGAAGGTTTCATAGATTCATAGATTAAGGGTCGGAAGGGACCTAGTAGATCTTCTAGCCCGACCCCCCGCCAGGGCGGGAGAACAACAAAAAACCCCAAAAAGAGAAACGGGACTTTGATAGGAAAAGGTATTTGATAGGACATGATTTTTATTCCATTTGAAAGTACAGGCAGCCCCCGCTTAACACAGTTTCACTTAGCACTATTTTGCTATAGCGCTCATTTAAAATTCATACCTCGTTTCACTTAGTGCTGAGCCAGTTTCGCTATAGCACTCAGTGAAGCAGCAGCAGCGGTGGCAAGAATCGGTGTGGCAGCAAGTGGGCAGGCGGGCATGGGCTCGGGGCCTGCACTGGTGCCACAAGGCCAGGGCCAGCAGGGACCCAGTAGGAGTGGGGGGGACCAGGGTGCCACATGGTGCCAGCTGGCAGGTGGTGGGGTGGGGAGAAGCAACGGCAGTGAGAAGCATGAGTGCAGGGCCCCTGCCAGTAGAAGCATGGGCCTGGGCTGACGCATGGTGCCGGAGCAGCTGGCAGGCAGGGGTGTGGGGAGAAGCAGCAGCAGGGAGAATCATGAGTGTGGGGCCCCATGGTGCCGGAACTGGCAGAAGCGTGGGCCGTGGGCTGGCACGTGGGGCCGGAGTGGCCAGCAGGCAGGCAGAGGGGTGGGGAGAGGCAGCAGCGATGATGAGAAGCTACGGCAAGAAGAAGTAACCAATTATTTCTATTTATATTAAACCCTATGGAGAAATGGGTTTTGCTTAGCGCAGTTCCACTTAACACTCGGTTTTCCCGGAACCAATTAAGAGCATTAAAGTGGGGGTTGCCTGTAACCAAAACCAGTCTGGACACAAGAGAATACTTGGCTTCGACCTTTCTAAAAACCCAAAATATTGCTACTTGGAAACTTAGTAAACCAGAGACTTCAACTGTGTGTACTGGATGATACTGAACCAGCCTGTAGATGAGTGGCTGTTTTTTTGGCTACCACATTTTCCTTACCTTGTATACAAAAGAAAAGTAAAATTTATGACGACAAACTCTGGGGACTGAAATGAAACTTTGTTCTTCTTGCAATCAGACTTCTTATTTCTCTCCAAAGAACTTTCCAGCTTTACCCCAGTAGATACAAGCTTCTGTTGAAGCTCACAGTAGTATCTACCATGGAAGCAACCACATTTGCTGCAGCTTCACATTCGTTGAAATATATTCATTTCCTGCTAGGCCAGCTCAAAATTTTCAAAATACAGGGTTTTTCTGAATGTTGTTCCTGGCATAGGGAAGGTAACTTAATCAATATGTTTAAGGTATGATGATCTTCTGAGGTCCCTTCCAGCCTTACAATCTATGAATCTACATTTCTTAGTGCTTTTGAAAAGGAGCAAGAACAGGGATCTGATTACACAGTATTTATTTTTAATGTAGGCAAATAACAGCAAGGATTGTATACTGTCTCACCTTGGGCAACCGAGCTCTTGGAACCAGTTTAAGAAGGCTGAATATACATGCGTGGTGGGTATCTGTGTGCAACCATGCACGCGTGCACACACCCCACCCCGAACATAGAGCTTTTGCCACCAAACACACAGAACATGCCTATACTGCTTTTGAAGAATTCATGGAGATGCTGCCGAGAAGCTTGTACCACACAGCTGCTCCTACAGCACACACCATCCCTGGAAATGAAGCAATGAAGGCAGGCCAAGTGCAAGTTTGAGAAGCAGGTTCATCACAACCACTCTGAAGAGTGGAAGCATGGTGTGATGGAGGGAGGTGCCCTCAGGGCAGCTTCACTGCCACACTTCCAATCTAGATAGAGCAAACTAAAGAAAAAGGGTACGCAGAAAGCAATGTGTTTGAATTTAAGGAATTTAGGCAATTTAATAAGGGAATACATTAAGCACTTCAGGTCTCAGAGGTACCTTCTGTTTCTTCTACCTATTAAACTAAGCCCGGGGTTTTCAACCTTATTTAGTCTAAGTACCTTTGATGGCCAGATGCCAAGCAGGGGGAGAGAATGGGGGTAGTGTGCAGCCGGACATGGAGCAGGGAGGCGGGGCGGGTGGGCAGGGAGAGAGCACTGCTGCCTCCCAGGAGCAGGGCCGGGCGCGGTGGGGTGGGGTAGCTCATCAGGCTGGGGTGAGGACAGTGGTGCCCCTCTGTGGGGTGGAGAAGCTCACCGGGCTGGTGTGTAGTAGCGATGGCCAGCGCGTGCAAACTTCCCGCCCGGCAGAGGGGTGCCACTGACCTCGCCCCGCCCCAGATCAGCTCCTGAGAGGCGGCAATGCTCCCTCCCCGCTTGCACGTACCCCCTAGCACAGGTCCAAGTACCCCCAGGGGTATGCATACCCCCCTGGAACTAAGCTTTCATTTATAGGATACAGGTGAAAAGCATTTTTTCCTGTGTCTAAGTAACTTTAGGTAGTGCTAGGTTAGGAATGAGGATGCTTTTACATCTCCCTCAGTGAGTCAGATAGGGTGGGGAGGGTGGAATGAGGTGAGGATCATTTATCCTAGCCACAGGAAAAGGAAAATTATTCCAAGAATTTAACTCCAAGCCTCAGTATCTAGGCACATCTTAGTCTACCCATTCACAGAAAGACAAAAAACAATTCATCGTATCTTCCACCAAGGGCAGGGTTCCAAGCCTTTTCATTCCTACTAAGGCAGAGTTTCTCTCTCAATAATCAAAGTGCTCTGTTCACTGCAAATTAATTCTAATAAAAACAATTTTATCACCTCATGTACCAAGTTAAGTTGAGGTCAACGGTAGTTATGTAACAGAATTAGAAGAGAGGTCAATTCTGGTCTCACTGAAGCTGTCAGAGTCAGCTACTGACAAATTTGGAAGAAGTGATGCCAAGCATATAAGCAGAGGGACTAGGCTTTGTGCCAGGAAAGTGACTAATGAGCTGTGACGTACAGAGTCTACCACCAGTACAGACAAAATTACATGGTAACAGATGAAGCGGAGGCTGGGATCCATATTAAAACACAATTAGAACTAGAGTTACTGTAGACCTTAAAATCTAACACCAGACATCACGGGTAGACAAGGATTTTCCCAATCATACCTAGTCTGGCCTGGTTATGTGACGGTAACTTTGGCAAACTGGGCCTTTTGAAACAACATGCATGTGCATATGTGAGTCTCTAAAATATCACTCTAACTTTGCAGTTGTGTCAAATGGTACTGCAGAGTCTACCCTAGTGGACACCTATATTTTCAAGTGTATGTGACCAATATGAACAGACTATAAAGAGAGAAGGACAATCTTCATGCATTTATCCATGGGATCATAGCTGGAAGTGATATCAGGACACAGATCTCCTCATTCAGCCAAGTCCCAGTTCACTCTAAGACAGTGAGAGAGCCATTACACATTTTGGCCCATAAAAGAACATTCATTTAAAAACAGAAGTGAAAAAAGAGAAGTCAAAAGCTATGAGTGTTGCTATATTCTCTCAGTGCACACTAATGACAATGTGAATCACCTGTGGTATTCTACAGCTTCAGTCATGAACCAAAGAGTACATAACCAAGACTTGAGCTTTATTAGTTTGTGTCACTGCTTCTCAAATGCCAAAGAATACACTAACCCCTTTTTAATCCTTGTCAAACAAAAATGTAAGAGGCACTAACATTTCTTCTAAGATTTCCACATATAAGAATATAAGGCAATCTTGTTAAAATATAACTGTCACTGAATTTTGAACACAGAGTCATACATTTTATCTCTTTTGGTATTCTGAAAACTATTTACAGGTTTTAATTTAACATGTTTTCATCTACTAAAACTCACCTCTGAGCATTTTACCCATTACTACATGTACTGCAGCAAAGAAAAAAAATTGTTTGATTTCAGTAGGTATGACAGTATTTCATCTACAATCAGTTTCAGTTTTCCATCTTATTCTTTCACACAGCAATGAGAAAAAAAGGTGTTCTAAAGATACGAAAATGTAATTCCAAAAAACAGACGACTTGAAATTGGCAAATCTCCCATTTTTTTCTCCAAGTTAATAAGGATGAGGTGTCCAACTTCAAGCAAAGCCGTAAGAAATAGCTACACCTTTTCTAACCCACTTTTGCACAGAGCATGCACAACACACAAAAATTACAAGCAAAAGAACAGCGTTTCAAAAACTATTTCTGTTCATACAATAAGCAGCAAAAATAATCTCACCTCGTTCGTCTGCATTCACACATTTTTGTCATAAAGGCAGGGCATGAGGGGCAAGGCCCTGGATGGCAGAGGCTTAAAAATGAGAACACAATAAATTACATGAAGATTTATGGTATCTTAACAGACACACTTATTCCACTTGAAGAACAGAAAATTAAATGATCTACTGTAACACAGACATTCTGTCAGTTTTAAACACAATAGCATACCAGAATTTAAAGCTTGCTTAGCTTTATTTTTTAAATGATCAATCTTAATTTTTATTTTAGACTTGACATTATTCCTCTAATCACTCTTGTAAATTAGGGTGTTACTGTACATTCACAGATTTTTAAGGCCAAATTGGACTATCCCTATTATGCCTGACCTTCTGCACAAGAGACCAAAAATTTCTGAATTAACTTTCCAGATTCTCTTAGAGAAACAGCAAAGGTGATGTGGCCAAAGCCTCACAGCAACTAGAACCCAAGTGTCTTGAATTCCAATCCAAAGGAGAACTCATTGTCAGCCTTCCTCTCAAAATTACAAACCAAACACAAACCTAGAGTTACTATGGAGCATTACTAAATTAGAAATATTCCTTTATAAAGCAGTTCGATGGACTGGGAAGTTAGGGTTACCTACTATGTCTATCTTCACAACAGTAAGAGGCCTAACAGATGTCAACAATCTTAATACACTCTTAATTCTTCTGTAAAACAGCCCACATGTTCTTTGTTCTGGCTAACAGTTTCTGAATTAGAGGAGTCTTTTAGGCAAACTTGCCCAAGAAATAATTTTTTTTTTCAAATCATTTTATGTTTCCCTACCGATGCAAAAAAATATGCATCAGTCCTATGAAAATGGGCAATATCTATTAAAACTTAATTTGTCATGAGCAGATCTCTTTTTACAATACAATTTTAAAATCACTCAAATAATGTTGTATTTGTTCTAACAGCACTAATACAATTTCTTTTGCATTCAGCTTGGAACTGAATGCATTTAGCATTCCTGTCTTTTCCACAACATGTAATGGGGGTAGGGGTGAAGATGGACACAACTGTACTCATTAAACCCCTTCTGTGGGGAAGAAGAATGGCCCAATAATAAAAGGTGCTAGACTGGAATATGGGATACACAATTTCATTTTCTTGGCCAGTCACAGACATTGTGAGACCTTAAATAACTTGCTCAGTTTTCCTCTGGTAGGACTCAAGAAGGAAGAGTCCTTGCTGCTGTTTCCACCCAATTATTTGTGATCTGCAATTCCTCTAACACCAATACCACCATTATATGTTAGTACAATGGAAATGTAACAGAAAAACATCCACTTCTTCAAAAACAATATTCACAGCCTAGTGAATAAAATATATTTTAAACAGCCAACAAGAGAATAGCCTGCATTTAGTCATTAGAAGTCTACTTACACAAGCATTTTTGTTTGAGAAATTACTGACTGGCAAACTGAAAGTACCCAAGGAGCAATTGGTTTCCAGATTTCAATAATGTTCTGTGAATTATTACACTGTATTTATAAACACACTTACATATTACAAAGATGTGGACAGTCCTGACCTGGTCTTCTCTTTCCACAAAGCTCTCCACAGCTATGTGGAATTTCATTTCTGTTCCATTCAGGGTTGTTTACTTTACCTAAAAGCAAACCAGATGACCATATTTGTTCATATAAATACTAAATTAAAGAAAAAAACCTGTATGTGGTATACACAGTTACAGATATTTGTATTTTCAGTACTCAGATTCTATGTTTAAGAGATGTTCTGCTTTGAAAATTAAGGGCAAGGTGGAGTTTAGGGGTGCACCAATAGAGATTTTGCAGGCTGATACTGATAGCTGACATTTAAGGAGGCATATCAGCAGATACTGATTTGATTTCCAATACAGCTGCCTCCAGCTGGTCAGTCAATTGTAGTGGAAGGGGAGGGAAGGGGTTGGGGGGAGATCAATGTCCCCCCATTGTGAGGCATGGGTGGGGGGGAGAGGGCACATGCCCCTGGATCTGTGCAAGGTGCGGTGGAGCAGGCTGCAGCCAGGGCTGTGCAGTGCTCTTCATATGCTGGGAAGATGCTGCATCCACCCCAAATTTTGTCACAGCAGCCCGGAGTTGCTTTGGCTTAATGCTCCGCCTCCACCCACGCGCTGGGAAGAGCTGGGGCTGTACTGGGCGGCTGGCAGTGGTGGCACTGGGAGCAGAGGGCAGCAAAATTTGGGGCAGATGCAGCATCCTCCCAGGCCGGCCCCTCGCCAAGAAGAGCCCTGCACAGCCCCAGCTGCAGTCTGCCCCACCCTGCCCCATGCAGATCTGGGGCCACAACACTGGGGTGCAAGCAGTGGCAGGAGACACACCCCCCCACGCACCCCACACCCAGGCAGCACTTGCCCCTGTCCTTGCCCCCTGCCTCACCACAGGGGACACTGATCTGCCCCTCCCCCACAACACCCCACCCCTCGCTTTCCTCCCCTTCTACAACAGACTAACAAGCTGGAGTCAGCTCCCTATGCTGCTGGCTCTGTTTCTGGCTGCATGAGCGTTGTGCTGCGGCTGCACACAGCACGGGCATTTATTGGTCAAATTATCAGCCCCATTGGGCCAATATCCAACACAACAAATTCTCTTGATATCGGTACCAATCCAATATTGGACTGATGTATCAGCGCACCTCTACTGGAGTTTCTTTTGTCTTTTATCTTGAGATTGAGGGGCTGAATGAGACAGTTAAGAAAAACAATTAATTCTTAAAGTCATACAAGTGGTCAGACTAATATTCAGAACTCAGCTGTAAGCTGCATAAAAGGCTAAACACTGAAGCACAGTAATACTTTGTTAAAACAAAACTCTCCATGTATCTTACTTACAGCATCCTATATCAAATTCTGTAATTCTATGTACAAGAGTGTTTATATTTAAAACCTATAAATAAGCAGAAGCCAGATGGTGGCTTCATCTAAGACCTCTGCAGGGGAGAAATACCCATGAAGTAAATTTAAGGGATTATGAGACCAAACCAATTTCAGATAATTGAGTTCAAATATCAATATCCAGTATCAAAGAGTATTTTCAGTGAAAAAGCATTCATGTTTTGTTAAGAAACAGGAAGGAAAACATTTCCATGACAGGGGTGTTTTAGAAAGCAGATTAAAAGTTTGATAAGTGAGTGGTGCCAGAGAAGTGCTAAGGTCATCTCCTGACCCTGCTATTTTTTGTTCTATATTAGATAGATATCTATGGCCTGGTCTACATAGGAATGTGTCACACCAATTTAAAGCATATTTTTCATAAGTAGAGATAATTATACCAGTACAAAACCCTGTAAGGGCACTGAACCTGTTCAAATTAACAAACTAAAGCAAAAAAAGTCACTCTTGTACCTGAATGACCATGCCAGAGTTTTAATGAGCATGTTTTCTTACATAGAACACACCTTTTTTTCCTCCCAACATTGGGGTGCATGTATTAAGTGGGAAAGCTGATTTTCTTCCCAGGATAGAAGCACCCTGCTTTGACTCCTGCTCCACAGTGCAACAGCTACAGGATTAATATCCAGAAACAAAAGACTTAATGGCTACTGCTCTTCATTCCAGCAGTGTTAGTGACAGTCTCTCCTTTTCAGCAGTCTTGATGTTCCACTAATTAAGCTAACCTTTCTTAGTGCAATTTGGCTGTCTTCTAGCTGCTCTTGTTCTCTCTCCTCTTTGGAGACTCTTTAGCACTTTTCAGAAATCTCCACCCACAGACACCAGTCTTCAGTAGCAGCTAGGATTTCGCTTTAGATAAACAGGAAAGGAAGGGTGAGTCAGCTGAAGATTAGCTCTGTCCCTGTTCTATGGAGCCATAACTCTAGAAAAACCTTTTTTTCTTAATTCTGCCTTTCAATAAGGTGTGTATTATATGCCATAGCATACTGCATGCAAGAAAATATGGCAATTTAAATATCCTGTCTTAAATATATATCCTATATTATACCAGTGCAACCTTCCATACATACAAGGCCTATAGCTGAATCACAGAACAACAGGGCAGGAAGGGACCTCAAGAATTCATCTCATCCAACCCGCAGTTTCAAATAGATCTACATTATGTCTACCACAGAAGAAGAGAGGCACTTACTTTAGCCATTTCTTTAGATTTTTTAAAATTAACTGTCTTTACATAAGTAATGATTTAAGATAAATAATAAAAATTAATGTAGCATTTAAACTAAATGTCATATATGATCCTCATACAAGAATGAAATTCTGTGCAAAAAAATCAACTTGTTAGCTTCCAGTACAAGGAAAGTTAGAGCCAGAGAGTGCTTTTGGAGATGTAAGAGGGAGAGTGGAGCCAGATATTTAATAATTTCTTGCCCAGGGCAGGGGGTCGGACTCGATGACCTACTGAGCTCCCTTCCAACCATAACATCTATGAATACTAAACCTCTATTAATTAAGAAAACTGTAAATTAAGTAACTGTAAATATGCAACACTTACCACAAAAACAAGTATAAATAGCAGGAACTCTGGTTGAAGCATTTTGACAAGCAGGACATCTCCAACCACTATTGCCATCTGCAAAGAAATTAAAACATAGAACAGCTTCTTATTAATTTCAGATATATTTTAAATAACTTATAATAGCTGTAATGGCCAGCAAGCTTTTTTTTTTTTTTTTAAATCATTTCAAGTAATATACTGAAATGCTTTAGGATAAAACTGATTTAGTGTTGATTCATATTCTGAATAGTTATATAAAAATGTCAGTATGACCCACTTTAAGCAAACTAAAAGCGGATAAAGCTTACAAACTGATTACTAATGAGGGATTTGCAGTTCATCAGTGTTATTTAAGGGGGTTCATTTTCAAACCAATGTCACTTTATCAGCAGTGATTTTATATTTTTGTCTAGGGAAACCAATAAAAAGTTTACCAATTAAGCAAAGATTGGTGTGGTGGTAAACAAAAGACAGTGATCTAAATCCAAGCTCAATGCTAGATGCAATAAAAGTGCATTAGTGTAACCAAATGCAAAAACGTGTACAGATCAGTCTATAGCACCAACAAACAGAGAAGCTGTCCGAGTGCAAAGTGTTTTTAACTTAGCAGACACAAAATTAGCATAAAAACAACAACAACATTCAAATTGGAAATATTATGCAAGTTTAATGGCGAGAACAGCCTGCTGCTGAAAATAATTACCATAGCAGACAACAAACTGAATCCTCCACCTCTTAAACTCAAACTTCTTTTTAAATTACATTTGGCTGAACCACAAATTGCTGGGCTAGATCAAGTCACCAGGTAAAATTCTAGAGCCAGTATATATAATACAGGAGGATCAAAGTAAGTGATAGCAACAGTCTTTTCTTGGCCTTAAGAGTTTTATAAAGTCACACGACAGTAAAATGTAATAAATAAGACCCAGCTAAGCTCCTACAGATTTCAAGAATGAAAGCAAGCCTGTTTATACAATACCACTTTCATTACAGTGGTTTAAAGTATCCTCCCTACTAGCCTGCCACAGAGGGGTGGGCTGTGTGGTCTATTTTCTTAACATTATTGCCCAAAGGAGCAAATAAGGCAAAAGGTGCTTGGCTCCCTGGTACATTTAATGGAAGTGAAAACATTTTCAGTCTGAGACCAATACAAACAGTCTCAGAGTAATTAATCATTAATCAGTCTCAGTGCCCGATCAAACTGACGAAGTTGTAAGAGTAAACCAGTGCTTGACAAAAAGTTATTGTGGAACATTTCAACTCAAATTGTGTGCAACAGATCAGCATATAAAAGGATGTCCAAGTGACAAGATGGACACTGTTCAAAGGCACAGAACTACAATTGTAGGCCCAGCACAGAAGAAAAAAAATGATCCTTTTATGCAAAGACATATAAGCACACAAACTGTAATCCTTGATCAAATCAGTAACACTGTGTATCCTTATCTCCAGAAGTGGCCAGCACAAGAAGCTTCAAAGAAAAGATGCACAAATCTGCTTATCTGGGAGATGTTATTATAGCCACCAGTTTAGATATTTTTCCAGTATCCAATCCCACTTTGAAACTGGCTGCATTCTAGCATTACTGCTCTATAGCCAATAGTTACAATAACCGGAAAACACTTAGGTTCCCTCTACATGTTACACATATTGCACAATTAACTAGTTTTCAGCAAACCTAAGAGTCACTACCTAGTCTTTCAATAGAGAGAAAGGAAAAAGAAGAGGTAAACACAGAAGAATGAATACCATGAACAAGCAAGCATTGGTAATCTTAATTTCTGTACCACTGCGGACTAGAACTGCTGAGAAGTTGCACAAAAGCAAAGGCCTAGCATTGTGTGTTAAAATGTAGTTTCAACTGCTTCTATGATTTGTACATGTGATTTAACATCAGTCAGATCCCATACCAGAAGTGTGAAAATGCAAAATCACAAACACATACAAGCTGTTTCAGTCTCCTTATCTGATATTATTTAGTTTACACACCTGTGTTATCTATATGTATGATTTGAAATTTAGCCAGAAGCCTACACACTAATCAAGTGTTAGAACTGTAATATGAACTCTTAAAATTAAAATAATTCTGATTATGCACATCCAACTGTAATCTTGCTGTACTTGGAGTTGTACTAAGATACTTACTTGAACAGGTATGGAGTTTCTCATTATCCAACTATCATTAAAAGAGACAAGTTCCTCCACAGGGATGTGAACAGCTAAACAATTAATCATTTCACTTATAAGCCCAGTGATAACCGGTTAGCTTGCCAGTTATCAGTTAGCTCAGAGTACATGCAGTCTGGCAGGGAAGCCACACAGCGCCCCAGCAGGAACTAGAAGATGGCAAGGCAGGAAGGAGGGAAGAGCAAGGAGGAGAGGAGGTGAGAGGGGGACTAGTACCCATAGACTAAGAGGAAAACAAGAGGTGGCCAAGTAATAACCCATCAATTAAGCAATTAGCTACTCCTTCACAGGTGCTCCTTCCCCCTAAGCACAGGGGCTTCAAGTGAGCTGTGTTGTCTGGCTGGATTTGCCACTGCCTCCCCCCACTGCCTGGCTGTCAAAGGGTCCCAGAAGTGGGTCCCAACAGCTGCTGCATTATCAGTTAATTGTTTAACTGATATAATTACAGAAGGTTAAACAAGTATTTTTTTAACAATATTTACATCCCTCTTCCCCCATACATCAAATAAGGAAAAATACTAACCTTCAGCTTGAGAGGCTGGTGATCTTGCCCACTTCTTAATGCAGTTCAGATGGAACACATGATAACAATTTTGACAACTCCACACTGGGGCTATTATTCGAACCACCTCACAGCATACCATGCACTCGTATTTCTCTGTGGTCAACTGCTCTATCAGAGACCCTGTACAGAAATGTAAAAACAGCAAATGATGAAGAAAATGCAATACAGAAATCAAAAATTAACACACAAATCTGATTAATTTTAAATGCAATTTCAGAATCCCACCCCCCAGTGGATGCATAGACACACAGTTTGGGCTTGTGTGAAAACATGAAAAGATTCCAATACAATAATGCTCCATTATTATGTACATCTTCAGTTCATGCAAAAACAACAACAAGCTCTCACTCAGTTAATGTTCTCCCCAATCTTACTTTCTTCAAGATTTTAATCTGGCCAAAGAAGTCTGAGAATTTGCAAATCAAGTCAAATGAAATAATAGCTTTACAAAGTGTTTATACTGAACTTTAAACATGTAAATCAATATACACATTTCAGTCAAAATGAGGCTGAATTCCTGAGTCCATGTATTATCCATAGGACACTTAAAAAAAAAAAAAAAAAGTAATGATGCTGAACAGGGAACATGGAGACTGGGAGGGAACATGACACTGAACAGAAATCTGGGAAATAACAGCCTTTCGGGAAAAGCACAGTTCTTGGACCTCTCTGTAGTAGATCACTGCTCCCTCTATTCTCTTGTGAAGACAGCACTTTAAGTTAAGAAAGAAAAGCAAGACCCAGAAAAAGCTTCAAACAAGTCCATGTTCAAAAGTTTTCAGAAATCTTAAATCCACAAAAAACAAAGGAGCTCTAGATAATAAGGCTGACAACGCTCTGAAGTCTGGAGCAGTAAAAAATTGTCTGCCTTGTGATTATAGTTGTTCTCTCGCTGGGCTGAAAAAGAAATTTTGAATAGATGTTTTCAAGGACTCAAAGACCCTCTTAAGGAGATCTTGCTGCCAAGCTCAAGGCAACAGTCAATGCAGAAACAGGATGCAATGATCTAGGATTCTGAGCTCTGGGAAACAGAGCTGAAAAGAACATAATATCCTTAGCATGTGATCAAGTGAAAAAAGATGACTGAAGACTGAAAACTACTGGTTCTCAGCTATCCCACCGATAAAAGAAAAAAGGACCCTTAGCTGAGTGCAAAGAACCAGTGGCGTTATACACTGTTCTCCTGTAATAGGTTGCCTACCTAATAGGTTAAGAACCTGCTACTACGTGCGAGTTAATGAATTACTTAACTCAAAATCATAATCCAAATTGCAGTGTTGAATGGATTCCAAAGTCTTTCAGAAGACCCATTACAGAATCTATTCGGGGCAGAATGCATTACAGAATCAATGCTTTATCTATTTTTGGACTACTATCACTAAATCATTTTACTTGGCAATTCAAAGTAGCATCTAATTTTTTCCAATTTCCAATCTTATTTTTCTTGGTACCATGTACTAGATTTTAGCAAGTGAAGTCCAGTGAGAAGAGCTGTATTTGATTGTGGCACCCTGTTCTTCCCTCCTGCATGAAGAACTATAGAAAACATTTCCAAATTCAGAAGAGACTGAAAAAAAAGAAGTTCAACAAACACTTGTCCAAAACTTTTCAAATTTCTAACAAACCTGGTGCCTGATGTGACCTCCATTATGAAGTCTAATTAAGACAAGATAGAATATTAATCATTACCAAAAACATTGTTTCCAAAATTAAAGTATTATGAAAAATACGTTGATACAGAAGAGATACATTTAATCGAGTTGTTATTTACATTCTGTAAAATGGATCCTGCAGAGTGCTGATCACTTTCTTTTAAATTATCACCAGATTTAGAGAATCACAGATATTAGGGTTGGAAGGGACCTCAGGAGGTCATCTAGTTCAATCCCCTGTTCAAAGCAGGACCATCCCCAACTAGATCATCCCAACAGAGGCTTTGCCTACGCATGTTTTAAAAACCTCCAAGGATGAAGATTCCACAACCTCTCTGGATAACCTGTTCCAGCGCTTTACTACCCTCCTTGTGAGAAAGTTTGGCTTAAGATGGGGGCAGGCAATTATTTTGGGCGGAGGGCCGCTTACTGAGTTTTGGCAAGTCATCGAGGGCCACATGGCAGACAGCCCGGGGCAAATTAATATTAATTTTCTAAATTTCTTAGGGGCCCTGTGGGATGGACAGAACGGCCTGGCAGGCTGCATCTGGCCCCCAGGCCGCATTTTGCCCACCCCTGGCCTAAGATCTAACCTAACCTTCCCTTGCTGCAACTTGAGACCATTGCTCCTTGTTGTCACCTGCCACCACCAAGAATAATCTAGCTCTACTCCCTTTGGAACCACCCTTCAGGGTGCTGCTATTAAATCCACCCCCCCTCCATGTCTTCTCTTCTCCAGCCTAAATAAGCCCAGTTCCCTGAGCCTCTCCTTCACAAGTCATGTGCACCAGTCCCCTAGTCATTTTTGTCGCCCTTCACTTGACTCTCCACAACTTGTCCACATCCCTTCCAAGTGGGGGGTCCAAAACTGGACACAGTACTGCAGGTGTGGCCTCAAGCTGATTAACTAATCAGCTTCAATTGAAGATGTTACTCAGCATCTTTTAGGACCCAGGCCTTTAATTTGGAAGGTTAAGCAATCCAGAATACTTACCTGTATGAGTTTCCTTGTTCTTTGGCACATCACTTTGCTTCTTCCAATACTGCATCTTGCTGAAATGAAGGGAGGACACATGTCCCTCCTGTAGGGGGAGCTTTCTTCCACTACGTTTGACTGAATCAGTTGGCTGGTGCGTCTGTGTTATGCTGGTCGAGTTGTGATCACCAGTGTGAGACGATTCTTTTTTCCTCTCACTAATTTTCTCTCTTGGGGTGTGAGTCACAGAAGACTTCTTTACTTTTACATTTTTGCAACGGTGGGTATCTTGCCTTTTCTGAAGGTCTTTATCTGACTGGGGTTTACTCCACGTAGACTTTCTAGGATATTTTTTGTTTGCAAACGTGTATCTTTTCTGTTCATCACCACTCCCAGCACATCCATCATAAAATGGTTTTCCAACAGACGCCTCTGAGGAATCAGACTGAGTCAGGTCCAAAGGTGGGACATTTTGAAACATCATATCCTTCTGTTTAGAGGTCACCCTCCTATCTCGGTCATGTGAGTGCTTCCCCTTCTCTCTGTACCCTCTTCCCGACGCATGCATCAGATGTGTTTTCTTTGGCTTTGCTCCTCTGTTATCTGCATTAGGTACCTCTTTGTCAGTATCTGAAGAACAAAAGTCATTGTATTCTCTAGGAAGTGTTCTCCTCCCTGGAACCACTGTAGTATCTAAAATTGTTGGGTCTGCTGTGCCATCAGTCGGTGCTTGCCTCACCCGATTTCTAGTATATGTCCTATCGCTTCTTGATCTATGCCATCGCTGGTTTTGGAAACTATGATTCTTGTGACTTTTACTGGTACTTGCAAACTGAGGAAAATCTTGTTGGCTCCTACACTGAGTCTCTGGACTATAGAAGTCCTGTTGCTTTGTAGAAGAGCTTTCATAATCAGTGCCTCTATCAGAAGATTGACTTGGAGATGGTAGATTATTTCTGCTCCGATTCCTGTTAGATTCCAGTCTACCCTGATTTCTCCAATTTCGATCAGAAGTCTGTCTCTCTCTTGGAATGAAGTCAGCTGCTTCTGGATTGAAGTGCAAAGTACCTAGAAAGTATAAAACAAAATGAGACAGAGGTGTTTAAAACATTTAAGCATTTTTCCTGTGATATACCGTAACAAAATTTACTATACACACAATGGGCTGAACAGGGCAATTCCTTTACATACTGGACCCCATGAATAGAACTAATATCCAGAAATTAGTTTTTAAATAAGCCAGCATGGGTGTGCATGTATTCTAATTTCATCAGTAAAGGAAAACTGTGTTAATAGAATTAGGGTTGCCTGCTATATCTTGCACCCATAAAAATGTCAAGTTTACCAATATCTGAATTTCTCAAAACCTGGACAGGGAGAGTTAAAGCATTCACATTTGTAACCTTAACTCTGCTTTTGGCTTTGGCAATAGCCATTGAAAATGGTCTCCAGGCAATCCAGCTGCATTCACTATATTAGGCATAACTGGTTCAGCCTGGCAGAGCTGTGGCTGAGATGATGCATTCAGGGAAATCACACCCATGAGCCTGGAAGGATGTAGGTTGGTAAGGACTGTCCCTCTCTGCCTGACCCTCATGCATGAAATGAAAGGAAAGAGAGAGGTGCATGTATACCTTGAGAAACACAGTATACCTCATTTCACTGGTGCACTGTGTATGCTGTTAGCACAACCTTATCTCATTAAATCCATGTCTTCTCCAGTCCAAGTGACAAGAAAACCCCTGTACCTTGATACCATCTGGCACTGTGAGAAGATCTGTGAAAGCTGAGAAAATCAATGTTCCTTCTGCAAAATGGGCAAAGCGCTTGATCATAAAGAAGGTTCCCTCTTACGCAGTACAATTCAAATGTATAAATACCACTTTGCATGACATTCAGAAATGGCACACTATACACCAAGACAACTTAACTTTCATATTTTGTTACTGAATATTCTAGGGATTTCTAATGGAAAAAAAAGATTCTGTATGACTACAGTTCTTCAAGATGTTGCCCATATGCATGTCCTCACTATGGCCACACATGCACCTCAAGCTTGGAAACTTTTGCCTTGGCAGTACCCATGCCACGTACCCTAGGGCTATGCTTCCTTGTGCTCCATGTTGAGGGTATAAAAAGCAGTGCAGGCTTCTGGCGCTCCTTTCCCCTCACAACCTCAGGCGCTAGATGCAGAAGAAAAGCAAGAAGGTGGAATGCAGCTATAACATGAATACCACATCCTGAAAATCTCCTACTACTTCTTTCTCCTTTGAGTGACTGTCCATAAGGACATTCACTATGGCAAGTACTTCCAGGTATATGGGCACTGCTTTGGATTGTCAAGCAGAGAGTGAGTGAAGGTTTGGCTTTACCAAAAGCAAGACTTGCCCACAACGCTTCTGCAACAACTGTCATTGGCAAAGCAGGTAACCAGGCTCCAGCTGTCAAGCCCTGCAGATGGGTGGTTTTGCAAGGAAGCAAACAAGAGTTGCCTAGTCTTGGTATAACAGGGTCTGACACTGCTGACAGGTCCACATTAGCGATGCTATAACTGTTTTGAGGCAATCCAACATCAATTAGACATTCTTTTCACCTTAGAGTGCTATGCCCATTAATCCCTTGATTAAGGAAACAAACAGCCTCAAAGTTCTTAAAAGGCTTAGTCCTGTGCAGGTCGAAAGATGAGACTCTGTTGTTGTTAAGCAATGTAACAGTTTCTCAGTTTGCAAAGAACAAAAAACTTCAGAAAGAACACCAGCAAGTTGAATGTTCTGGTTAAGGTGGAATTCAGTAACCAACTTTGGTAAAAAGTTAGGACAGATCCCCATGTAAAGGGAAGCCACCAGAAGCACCTGGATTTCACACATCCCCTTTCCCAAAGAGATCACTACTTAGAAAGCCATTCTTTTAGAGTAGTGGTCTCCAAACTTTTTAAGTAGGAGATCACCTTTGGCATTTAAAAGCAACCCAATATCTACTGTGTGTCGCCCCCTGCCCAACAGGTAAGTCTATGGGGAAAGAAGGGGGGTTGGGGGCAGATCAAGGCAGAGGGAGAAAAAATTATTTGGGGCACACCTCCCCAGCAGATAAGTCCTACCTGGCCAGGGCCCCAACTCAACTTACCCCTCCTGCCTCTGCAGCTCAGTCCCTCACCACGGGGGCCTTGATCTAGCCCCCACCCCCTTCCCTCCCCTGCAGACTGACCTACTGGACTGGACCAGACTGGGGAACCACAGCCTCGGATCAACTTCAAGAGGCTCCAAGATCTACCGGTGGATCGAGATCCACTGGTTGATGACCACTGCCTTAGAGGAAACAGAATTTTGCCAAGGGCTCAATGGGAAGGTACTCCCATGAAGGACTTAAGTACCACTCTCTGGTACTAACAGGGATGAAAGTATCTCCCTGGAGAGAAGATTCAAGTCAGGACTTGAAGAATTTCAGGCCTGCTGTGTGAAAAAACATATGTCAATGTGTGTGTACTGGAGGTCAGTGACCCAAGATAAGACAGCAGACTTATCCACCCATTAAGTTCCAACAGATATTGTAAAATGATCAACATGGAATTTTTATCATCAGGAGAGTTTAATCTCAACTGACACCAATTCCTAAATCTGGTCTACCTGGCAAGATAAATATGTCCTTTCTCCTGTAGATAAGGTTGTCTCTGGCCTGGAGAATCAGACCATGCCTGCTCTACTTCAAGACCTATACGGCATCCAGGGTATTGACACAAGGACAGCAATCTGAGTAAGCCCTCTCTCAGCAAGCACGCCTGGGGAAAGTAGCAGTGACTTGGTCTGCTTACTAGTCCTCTACGTCAACCTGCTAAAAAGCAAGAAGCCTGGGTCTGCCCAAACAGTGATAAATATATATTTTGAAAGAAGAGCTGAAAGAATGATACCTGGTCACTCAGGGGAGAGAAAAGCAAATCTAAGCACCTAAATAACATGCAACTTTGTATGCATACCTTTGGAGAGCAGGAAGTTACTAGTAGTGTGAGCACACCTTAGAAATAAAGGGGCAACATACATGAACAGCAAGAATGACAAAGATACTTAGGTCTACTGAGAGACTATGGCTTTGTCTTTAGTCTTCCCAGGTACAAGGTGGGGGCTGCAGTCCCCCAGCCAAGGAGGCTGAAAAAAGCAAGGTGATGGGGAGATAAAGGAAGCCCTGACGAGACAGGTCAGAGGCAAGGTCTGCATTAACACCCATGAAGCTGGCTAGAAACTGCACCTTGGATTTAAGGTACAAGATAACAGGGCAATGTCCTGGTATTTTCTTTTGTTTATTTACTCTTATTTACTTTTACTCTTCTATATTCACTACTTTCCCAGGAAAAACCACAACTGTATAGATGTTCAGGCTTGTTTTCGCCTCAGTTAAAAAATGGCCACTCCAGGAGAAAAATAACCTGGGAACAACCAGGATTAATTACTCCCAGGAGAGTTTCTCCTGGGACAGCAATCATCTGTACATGCTGTAGCTTGTCTCAGAAGAGAACACAATCCTCCAACATTAACCCTTTCCTCCCAGGGAGGCAGCATGCCCCTTGCTAGACTCTGCTGCTCCAGCAGAAAGCAGAAGGTGCCCCCTTCACAACCCCCAAATTGTGCTACAGGAAAATGCAGGCTAAGCAGTGTGCGTCAGCCAACCAGAGCTGTTGCCAGGTAGACTAAGGGAGCCTGCAAAGCATTTGAGATTCTGCTCCCCCCTTCCCCCTCCCCCTCTGGTTGCACAGTATCAGTACTGCAAGCTCTCCAGTCTTCAGAGCCTCAGCACCTGAATGTCTATCAATGTGACTCTGGGTAAGTTTCTCTACTAGGAGAACAAACCTGGGAGAATTCTCCCAGATTATTTGAAAGTGGGTATGCCGCCTCCATCTGAATGCCAACATATGGTTACTGGTTTCTTATGTTTGTTCTGTTCTTATAATAAATCTTTCTGTTGTTTGTCTCCTTACTGATTGCTTAAGGAAAGAGTGATTTTTGGGCACGTGATATTCCAGGCTGACTCTCTCTCTCTACCCAGAGTAGGGAAATCAAAACAGCAGCATCACTCCCAGCAGGGCTTCATGAAGTTTATAAGCACAAAGGACAACCCAGGAGCACTCCATCCACAGCAAAAAAGGTTGAGAAGAACTGAGAAGCAGGTCTTGACTCAGAGCACCAGAATGGACAGAGAAGGGGTAGGGCATGCAATACAGGTATTGCTATGTCAAAAGCTTCTAAGCTGGAGTGCTTGAGCCACATGCACACCCACAGTAAAGATGTGCATATGAACATACATTGAAGGAAAAGATATGTTTGTTGTTGAAGTCACCAATCATTTGTGTCAGTGATTCTCACCAGAGTGTGACAGTATTCTGGGGTGCCATGAGATCCTTTTAAGGATGATGTACAATATTAGCACTGCTAGGTATGCAAACACATACATATAAGTCACAAAATAAACCCAGACATTTCAAAAATATTATGACCTGCTGTGGTCTTTGCAATAGAAAAATTCCTCTATTTCATAGATTTCATAGACATTAGGGTTGGAAGGGACCTCTGAAGATCTTCAAGTCCAGCCCGCTGCCCCAGGGGCAGGAAGTCAGCAGGGGTCATAGGATCCTAGCAAGATAAACATCCAAATGTCTCTTGAAG